ATGGGTTCCTTTTGTGATTTTTTGGTTCGTTGGCTTGTCTCAACCAGATGGAAGACAATTGGGAACAAGAGAAGAAAATCCGTGCTGAGGTTGAAAAGGCCCGTCGTAAGGCCGAGGGTGACTTGAAAATGACCATTGAAAACCTGAATGAAATGGAGAGGATGAAGATAGATTTGGAAGAGGTGGTGAAGAAGTAAGTGGTGGGGTCCTCCTTTCACATGAACCCTTGGTTTATTGAACAAACCACTTGACTGAGCTGGCCTAGGAGTTGATGTCTGGAGGATTCTGGGAAATGTAGTCCAACATACCTGGAGGGCACTAGATTGGGAAGTTTGGTCTTGATCATTACTGCCTTCTGGATGTGTTCGCACAACATCAACGTTAAGATAAAAGGGTAGGTGGGTAGGCCTTTTTTGGTTCAGGAGACTGTGGAAACCCAACCATAGCTTATTTGTTTGAGTATAGTACTTTATGTGAACATTCCAATTGTGTTTTGTTAACCTGAGTTCAAGTTTTAATATGTTGTTTGAACTATCCTCAGAATCTTTTAATAAGCCTGCTGCATCTTCTCTTGCAGGCGAGACTTAGAGATAAATTCTATCAACTCCAAGATAGAAGATGAACAGGCTCTAAATTCCACCCTTCAGAGAAAACTGAAGGAACACCAGGTAGGAGAGAGAAAGACAGACCGCCTTATTTATCTTACTCCACCACCTTTTCCCATAATCACCTTTGGCTAACAGTATCAGGTCCCCTGTCCCCGTCCAGATTTGGCTCTTCTAAGAGGACATCTTAGTGTTGCAAAACATCCACAAACTACCATGAGCCAGCTAAATTTCTCAGGGCTTTCAGAGTAGTTTGTCAAGGGATGAAGTTGACTTTGTGAAAGAAAACACATCCCTAGATGTCACCTAGATAGGAGATCATCTGGAGTGAAGTCTTGTTTAGTCCTTAGCCATTTCCAGGGGCAACTTCATATACTGTGCTGTGGCTCCTCCCCTCAACAAGAAGGCAGGAGGTCATGCAATTTTTCCTGGGTGTTACCTCCCTAACTTTGGTATGGGGTGAACCTGGCTCCTTTAAACATTCTTAGCTACCCTATCTCAAAGTATTGCTTCATATCTCACGGTATTGTGCTTCTAATAGGCTCGAATTGAAGAGCTGGAAGAAGAGCTGGAAGCAGAACGTTCTATAAGGGCAAAGGTAAATATATTTGTCCATAATCAAAAAAGTGGCCCATTATGTTCAAGACAGCGATGACTACTCTGGTTCCAGAGCATTTTAGAACCCTTACCTTGATGGCAGGACTGTGCAAAACATTTCAAATCCAAATCATTTTGATTCTGAAACTCCCCATGTCATGTCTGAAACATCCCGTTTTGAGTTTGAAAGCACTTTTTGAGGGATCTTTTGGACACCTTGAGCATTTCAATTTCAACCTAGACATACTGCCAGATGTTCAAATCAGTCTGTTTTGCAGCTATAACCTTTGTTTTGTAACCGACTCAAGACAGAGCATTTTGATAGAACGATTTGGATCTCTCCATCTCACCATCATTTTGTGGGGCTCTGTGATGGAATGGAATTATGAAGGCCAGACTCAGGGAGGGAAGCATGCTCTTTCGTCTCCTGAGGGGCGAGGAAGAGATAAGAGGATGAGGCTGGCACCTTCCT